AGCTTGCCAAGAAGATTAAGTGTGTAGCTGTAAAAAGGATGTGATGCAATTTCGTAGGGTAGAGATGGCTGTTAGCTAAATGGAAAAACTTTGCTTTATGTAGTGGCTATTGTAACTATCAGCTGTGGACAATGTGATTTTACAGAAGCAGAGGAAACCATGCTGTGTGACTGGAAAGCTTTGTGCCGTAATGAATGGCTGCACAAGTAGTGGTTAGTGTTTATGTAGTTTATGCAACAGCAAGCAGCACCATGCTGCATGCACATCCAAGTGTAGAAAATTCTCTTTAATATTCTAGCTTGAATCAACATTTCTTCATTTATATCTTATCTGTCTTTAAAATTTATTTCAACTACACTGTGAGCAAACCAAAGTAATACTTCAAGCTCCATCCACAGAGCCACCATACTCTCACATCCTCCAGAATGTCATATCTCAACAACATAACAGGCAGCTACAATTACAAACTGAATATAATTTATAGATGATGTGCTAAAGCTTATGAATACTGAGTAACAAAACCTGCTATATGTTCAACTCTATCTATGTAGTTTGTAATTTTGAGAACAAATGCTTGCTGTGGTCACATACTGATGATCCTCCCAAAAATGAACTCATGATTGTCATTGTGTTTTCCTAGTTATATACATATATCAAATGTCATATCATACAGAACCTATGCTGTCTAACACTAGAGTCTACCTTAGATCAAATGTCAGATGGAGCCAGACTACACCAAGGGGTGGTCTGCTATCAGACCCTTTCAGCATTCATGGCACTGATGACAATATTGTTCTGTACCAGTTTCTAACATCTTTGATTACAAGTCACAAGAGCGGATTAGATAGATTGGACTCACACATTATTTTGTTCATGACATCATTGGCAGACAATTCAATAATTTACACGTCAGAAATGTCAGAAACATTGATTTCATATGTTGTATGGTTCATTTACACCTGGTTGTGTAACTGACATATGTTTAAACACTTGTCTTATTTGAACTACACTATCTGCAGTCTGTGGTCTGTGAGCTAAGGAAGTATGCTTAATGTTACAGCGCTGGTTTCTCTGTGCTATAGCATTGTATTCAGTAACAGGTTATCTGCTCCTTGACTCACACACAATATTATTTATTTATAACATAGCTGAACACTGAGCTGGCCAGTGACTTCTGTTCCTTTCAGTGATAATAATGATTTTTCTTCTGGCTCATAAGGCTGCAGTCATTTATTTACACTTCTGGAAATAGAGCTTTCCAAAGACAGTCCTGGCAACAACAAATGGCGACAAGGAGCTACTGTTCTGTAATGGCTGCATCAAAGATCTTACTGCTATAGCATATGGCTTCCTCCACCTCTGCAATTGGTAATAAAACCCTGGCCTTATTCTGAGAAGATATGTGAGCCAGGACAGAGCAAGCCCCTCCAATCATATTGTTATTCATCTCCTTGTGCTACCTCCAGTTTAGGCTGCCAATGGTATGATAGCTTGCATTTCTACTTTCTTGAAAACGCAGTGACTGGAACATTCACCATTCAAATTGCTCTGTGTCTTTTTTAAGTGTTGCACTAGCAATGGCTCAAATGAAAAACAAACAAACAAACAAACAAAAATAGGAAATTTAGTGCTTCCACTGCTACGCACCCTACACACTTTTCTAACCAATTAGCTAGAATTCAATTATATAATCTGGTGCCAAAAACTAAATTTAACTGACAATGAGATTGTGAAATAAAACAGAAAAAAAGCTGAAAATTAAAAATTAAGTCTTATATACTATTTTTAATTAACAGCGCTTATGAGCAAAGGAGTCTTGAGCGGTGAGGTACACTGCCAAAGGAAAGCATAAGTCTACCCCTCATGTTTGAGTATATTACTTTCTGTAACTTTCATTCATAAAGTCAGCCTTTACCTATTTTTTCCGTTATTCCCTCCCTTTGCCCATATTTGAAAACAGAAAAAAATAAAAGTTCATACAAAGATTTTAAATTTGTATTACATTTATTTGGGAGACTTGAAATGGCTCCTCTGGAGCCATTTGAGTGTCTCTCCATCTCAGCGTGCCCAGTAAATACTCACTCAGTTTTTAAAATATATTTCCTGATAAAAATTAATTTGTGTGTACAGTCAACAACCTTTTCATAGTTTTATACATTAAAAGGCCAGAGGAAATGCCTCTATCATCTACTCTGGCCTCCTTCATCACACAGACCATAGAACTCTGAAGATACACAACCCTGTATAGCCAGCTCAATAGACTGTAATGGATTAACACAATGCATATTCACTTTTGAATTGTTCCACAGTACAGACTGTTACAGTAATAATATGGAAAATTTTATTAAAAAGTTTATGAAAAAGGTAATGGCACATGAGCAGGAACCCAGATTGCAGAACTCAAGGTATTTTCACTTTGTTAGTGCACATAATTATAGGCCTTGGTAGAAAAACAACTGTTTAAAAAATAACATTGTCTTAGAACTTTTACTTGAGTTCAAAACTAGATCAGGTAACATCACTAATTTACTCTGAACTTCTATAACATAAAATCAGCCAGTAAGTATTTTGGAAATTACACTGAACATAATTGCTCCTACATGTTTTACTTACAGCAAACCTTTATGACTAAAAATAGGAGTATACAAGAGAACTGCTGACACAGTCTTGCTCTGTATGACATGAATATACCAATATAATATTACTTCTGCCTTTCTCTGTATATAATATTTATTCATTTTAGAGCAAAACAAACCAATCAATTTATGTATTCATGTATCTATGATGTACCATATACCAAGCACTAGATTTATCACACTTACCTTCCTGCATAATTAAAATTAAGTTCTCCAAGTGCAAACATTTTTGGTTACCTTATCAAAAAACAACAGTCAACATGCTTAGCACTTCTTTACTCTCAGGGAAATAGTTGCACAAAAAGTTAAATTTGACATGAAAGATATTTCAAAGCTTAAGTGAAAGTTTCAAGTGAATAAAAAAACAGATGTGATGCTGCTCTACTTAAAGATAATATAAAATCAGTTCCCCTGTTTAAAGGAAAACTGAATGAGGAGTAAGTAGTAGTGTTTGTATTTTTCCACCAACTATCCAAGGGACTAAATTGGAACAGGTAAGGAATCAATTTGTTCTGTCTGTAACAGAAAATAAGTATAGCAGTTTGCTGACAATAAAAAATGGGTTAATATATGCATGTACGTGTGTGTGTGCATGCATTTATAAGTACATAAATGCATGCACACATATGCAGTCATATAAAATGAACAAACGGGCACAGAATCCCAAATTGACCAAATGAGCTGATGTGCAGTAAATATCCAATGTTATTTAAGTGTGAATTAATATATATTTTCACCAACAACTGAACTGGATTTACTAAATAATGCTATGGGTTGATACTGGTGCAGTTCTAACCTACAGTATGCAGTTTCTCTACAAAACATCTCCAAAATGCCATCTGCATTGCATATTTGCTGTAAAACTATATCTTTTTTTCTAATCTTCATTTTTGTTAGCCGTTACATATGTATATCTGTTTATGCTCTAAGAAATAACAATTTGCAATGCCTCATAGCATGCCACATGTTCATAAAATAAGTTCTCAAATCAATATAAAATCATGTAATTGAACAAAAAGGCATACTACTTTTCATGCTATGCTCAATATAAATATAAATTCAAGGCAGTCAAGCTATCCATTACCAAAATAATAATAACCGTAATATATATGTATATATACCTACACTCTCTAAAAAATGATCCAGTTATGTGAATTAAGAAACCAGTAAGAAATTGGCTGAATGTAGTACAAAAGTCTCATTTTATGTAAAAGCCAATACTGGCCATTTCAAGTATTTTAATACTTTCCTATAACCTTTTCATTAATAGCTAGCTATTTGTAGAAATGATAATTTTATATGGAAAATTGTATTCAAGTTAAATTAAAAAATCACTTACACTGTATTTCATTTTTAGAGTGTGCACGTATACATAGCAAAATACCCTTCTACAGATCTATTATAAATATTTTAGTTTCTGTCTTTTCGTTCCTAAGAAAACATTTCAGCATTTCTTCTCTAATTTTGGATAACGTACATCAAGCCTTTTAAGAAATTAAACCATCTTAGTTCATTAACACCAGATTCCATTCCATTTGTGCCAGTTCGCAAGTTAAAGGTCAAAGAGCAAAGACATGGGACAGTACTCTTCAAGGAAATTCAGACAGTGAAGCTGTTCACAGAAGACAATGTTTAACTTGGTAATGACAGTCAACAGGTCAATAATCAAGTTCAAGGCAAGCTGTTCATTGTTGCAAAAGCTACTCCCCTCAAATTCTGGCTTTCATAAAAAACCAGATGTCTGACTTTTAGGGTGCATCATTTTGACCATCTTTAATAAGTTCACAGCCCAGTGACTGTAAAGCCTATCACTGCAAGAAGCAGCTCCTAAAAATCAATAAAGAGGTCTGTCAGTTGCTGACTTTTCTCTAGGAAAAAAATATTGATACAAACCTGCTCTGCAGGTCACATGAAAATGACAATACTGCTGTTAGCACAAATTACACAAAATGACAAAATGCTTTGGTGGTCCCTTGGCTCTATTAATGATATCGTGTTTGGCTAAAGGCCAGAGATTTGACTAACCCTTTGAGAACTATAGAGAACATGCAGGGGAACACCAGAAGGTACTCATGCAATATCAGAGTCATCATTTTAGTTTTCCTTTGAAACTGTAACTCTATCTCTGCAGAGGTAAACTGAATTATCATGCAACATAGTTTAAAAGAGAAATTCAAGATGCTTAGGATAAAAGGTTAGGCTATGAAACTGTAAGCAGTTCAGAAAAATCCTCCGTTTGGTTCCTTTAATCAGAAAGTAGCTGATAAATATAACTTTCTCTTTATGTTACAAATGCTTTTCTATCAATAATGCAAGTAATGAAACACTCGCAGTCACAGGAAATCTGTTAAAGGAAAAAAAAAAAAAAAAAAAAAAAAAAAAAAAGACCACTGTTTTTTCCTTTTAAAATTTCTATTTCCCAAACACAATCCTGTAATTTAATGACAATCAAGATTAACATCCAACAGACTCTGAAAACTGATGCAATAGTTCTCAAAGGGTTACACCAAAGTAATACCAGTGTCAAGTTTCTCTATAGCATCACTGTTACTTTAGTTCACTGAAATCCACTTCAGAGACACACTGCTTTTTCACCATCCATTGGAATGAGTACTCCTGACAGACCTGTGAAAGGCCTGGGGCAGTTGGCTTGGTATAGCTTGGGAAAGATTATGCAAGAAAACCAACCCAAAAATCAAACAAGCCAATAAAAAGATTCCACTTGAATATAGTGATGAATATAAATGAGTTTAAAACATTGAGGACGTAGCCCAGAGCAGCTGTATAAAACACAAAATGAATGTATTATTAAGGCTGTTACTATATTGCAGATATTTTGGCCCCTTGTTTGTTGGAAAATGGCTGTCCGAACAGTCTGAAGTCCTGCATGTTATCCGGGTCTCCCACCTGGCAAGACTGGAAATAGGAGTATAGGACTTTATCCATTGCAGACAGAAAGCAATCCTCTTTGGAGACAAAGCTGTTTTGGGTCTTCTCACTTTCCTGAATGTTCCACTGTGAGTTGTTGTGTTTTTTTTTCTAAAAAAATTGACTTTCAGCAGAAAATTTTTCAAAGGGGAACAGGCCTTAAGGGAAAAATGTAGAAACATTGGAGATTTTGTTTTTTCCTCTTCCTTACTTAATTCTGATAGTTTATCTGGCGTTTAGTGTGCAGAGGAAAGACCTAAATTGAATGACAAAGAAAGACAAAGGACTGAAGAAACAGCAGATACTGTTTATCATGGAAGCTTCCCAGCTGAGCGAATCACCACTCATGCGCGGGACAGGCAACCTCCTGGGTTTTAAGGATCAGCTTTGTTTCAGACTGACAGATGCCCGCTCCTAGCTAGGAGACTGCAGAACAGCTCTTGTGTTGAATCTCAAGTTACCACAAACTCCTGGGAGGGAAAGAAAAAAAAAAAAACCAAAACCCTACATCACACCCACTCTTGCATAGAGCGTTTGCAGTACAGTATGTGACGAGGTGTTCCTTTCCTTTTGAACTGGAACACGGTGTAAACCAAGACAAGGAGGCACAAGGCCAGGATGCAGGGAATGACAATAGCTATGGCTTTCACAGTGCTGGCTGTGTTGTCCAATTTGATAACAATGTCAACATCATCTTGAGGGCTGTGTCGGTCTTTGTCTCTATCTGTTGGTCCATCACAACCCATAAAATCCTTGAGGATGGATCTGGGATAGCCAGGTTCCACTCTGAGCATCTGGTTGTTGAATTTCCAGTACTCTTTTCCTTTGTAGAAATATGTGAAGCCTGGAGAAGAAATTTGAAATTATTAATGGTCAAATCATGTATTCTATACTTAATGTCTGGAACTGTCATTACCAAATTATTTTATCACCAAAAGATAAAATACATGAGAAACACACCTGACTCACAGGCCTTTCAAATCTTTCCAAGTTTCATTTCTTTTCCATTTCTAGAAAATCTGTCATCCTATATCATTTTATTGAATAAATGGGCATTTTATTTTCACCCTATTTCTACAAACAATAACAGAATTCCAGAGAATACAGTCTTTGACAGATTAGGGTCAACTAGTTTGTTTATTCATTGAAAACCCAGCTGGAGCTGAAATAATCATGGCCAGGTCTATTCACTTTGAAGCATCCCAAACAGTTCTGGATGAGAAATATACTGAAATAAGTTTCAAGCCAGAAATAAGAACTGTCTCTCTTCAATTCCACTTAGCTTACAGCTGTACTTCAGAAGATGAAGAAAAGCAGCTTTGCCAAGAGAAAATGGTGTACGCAGATTTAAAATATCTGCACGGAGCTGTTATTAGATCATTCAGGTGTAAACCAATGTTATTACCAAACATACGTAACTGAAAAAAATTAAAATAATAATAATAAAAATAAAAAGCATAAAAATCTGACTCCCTGCCAAAAATCTCCATTACTTCAGTTTTTGGCATTAATATGTCAAGAAACAAACCTTCAGGACTCATGAATTTCCTCCTACTATTTATAGATGAAATGCAAATCGATGGATAAGCTATATCTAGACAAATTAGAGAGCTGAATAATCACCGACCACATGAAGTTTAACAAGAGTGAGTGCCAGATTCTGCACTTGGAACCCTGGCATACAGACTGGGGGTGAGATGGTGAAGAACATTCAACTAAAAGGGCTCTGGAAATCTTGGTTGACAGCAAGTTGAACATGAGTCAACAGTGTGCCCAGGAAGCCAGGATGGCCAACCATATCCTGAGGTCCATCAAGCATGGTACTGTTAGCTAATCAAACTGATTGTCCCTGTATGCTGCACTGGTGTGGCTTCACCTTCAGTACTGTCTGCAATTTTGGGCACCACGGTACAGAAAACATAAAACTATTACAGAATGTCCAAAGGAGGGCTATAAGGATGGTAGATAGTTTAGAGGGGAAGAAGGTGTTTGGGGAGCAGCTGAAGTTGCTTGGTTTGTTCAGCTCAGAGAAGAGGAGGCTGAGGGGAGACCTCATTGTGGCCTACAGCTTCCTCATGAAGGGGAGCAGAGGGGCAGGCACTGATCTCTCTCTAGTGACCAGTGACAGAGCCTGAGGAAATGGCATGAAGATGCGACAGGGGAGGTTTGGGCTGGATTTCAGAAAAAGTTTCTTCACCAAAAAAAGTGGTCAGGCACTTGAACAGTCTTCCCAGGGTGATGGTCATGATACCAAGCTTGCTGGAGCTGAATCAGCATCTGATCACCACTCTCAGACATATGGTCTAATTTGCAGGCCATTCTGTGAACAGTCAGGAGTTGGACTCAATTATCATTATGGGTCCCTTTCAACTCAGGATATTCTATGATTCTATGACTCCATAATTTTCATTCATGTTAAATGGTACATGCAAACATAGCTTTTTTCACAAGAGTAAGTTCTATAGAAGGATATATTTCCTCTGTTCATAATTCAAAAATACCTCCAATGCTTAATATAAATAATCAATCACTCTTTTACTACAGTATCTTACATAAACATTGTTAGCAAATTATTAAATCAAAAATGTGTTTGCATACCATTCTCTTTGTGGACAAAGGCTCCCTGAGGCGATTCTGGGATACCTTTCCAAATTGTGATTGGTTTGGGATAGCCAGGGTCCATGGATCTCATTTCTTCACTGTACCTCCAGTACCTGCAAATTTTTTTTTTTAATTATTATTATTATTAACAATGGGGAAAAAAAGGTATTTATAACATAACAGATAATTAACACACTTTACTCAGTGCATAGTTTTTTACTTCTAACACACACTATATCCAGTAGTCACAAATGGGAATACTTGAGTTCTTTTCTTTGAAAATGCTACCAGATAACAGAGAAAGTAAAATTATTTGTCAACAAGATAACTTCATGCTAGTTGAAAAAACAGATTACTGCACTTTGACAACTGCACTAATGTGCTTCACTTAATAGTCAAGCAATTCTGATGTCTAACACTTCTGCACAGTGAAACAGTGAGATGCAACATATATGAAAAAGGTCCAGAATATTTGAACTAACATTTTAATCACAAAACTGCCAGCATGATAAACTTGACTCCCTATGAAAATAAATTCATATTTTGTTATCATATAATCATTAAATACATAGAAAATAAATTAACAAGTTTTTCTGCATCTTTGCCAGCCTTTCCCCAGTTTAAAAAGCCTCAGTATGCAAATTGTGGGTATTCTGATCTTTGGAGAAGTATTTACAGTTGTTATTTTCCTTACAGATAATGTTGATACTTTATTTGTCCTTTGCAGCTGGCTGAATTGCTGTGCACATCTACTGGCTTGGTTCTAAGAAATATCATACTCACACGCATATCTGTGTATTTTGGTTGGCTTCACTAACCTAGAGCATCCTAAATTTTATTGGAGATTTATGTTTCCAAATTCAGCTTTATTCAAGTGAAAAATCATCTAGAAAGGCAGCTACACTGTTTCAGGACATCCAAAAAAACAGAGAATACAACTCCAGCATTGACAATTTGATCATTGCTAAAATCTAGAACCTTCTAAGTTGAATAATCTCACTTCAGCTTTTAGAAATAGTTATAATATTTTCTGATATATTTAAGAGTTTTTAACTGGCTGATATTTGGTCCCTGTGAAAGTACTTAGACAATTCATCTCTTGATCTCCTTTTTGAAAAAAGCAACACGGACAAAATTCCTCTGTGTCTTTCCCTGTAGGGCATTTTTTTGGATTTAAACTTCCAATGAAATTAAAGTCTCATACATATGGCAAGTTATACAAAGAACTATTTGCATTAATTTTTCCTCTCTAATGCATACATTATTTTACAGCCTGATCTCTTAATATAGTTGCATGTGCACGAATAACCAGTCAAGAAAGCAATGCTCTGTAATTTGAATGGAACATCTTTCACAATGTACGTGGAGAAAGAGGCAATGTATCTTGCTAAGCAGCAAACAAAACAGAAAGAGAGGGAAAAGAAATGAAAATGAACTGTGTGACTTTGGAAAAAAAAATTAAAACTTAGAAAATATTTACTAAAACATGTTTTTACCTGTATTTACTTTCCTCTGTCTACTTTCAACTACAAGAATACTAAAATTTAAAAGTGAAAAAATATTCAGTTAATAGCGCAAAAAATAGGCATAAACAAAGCCATGTGTCAAGAAGTGCATCAAGGCTGTTATTACGTTGTACTACACTACTCAATTTTAAACACAGGAATAAGAGAGGGTAAAATGTTTTTCTGTAGTTTTTTGTCCCTTTTTTGCTTTCATAAAATTATTTGGAAGGATTATCTAAAGCGTTTGAATGGATCATTTCAAATCATAATAATGATCGATACATAAGTTAAGTTAGCCATATGAATATAATGATATCATTTACCATTTGAACTAACTTATTTGAATCTTCTTTATATTTTATAGAAAATATTTGATGCCTGATACTTCATTGTCTAACTGTTTCTTTCGCTAACCTTAGTTTAGGTTCTTCTCTGGAGCTCTTTGAGTGAAGTTTACTGTCAAAACAAATGCACATATCCCCGAGTTATATAAGAAATACGATTATTTTGATTATGGCATAATATTTTGGTTCCCTTTCATTCCTACCTCCTGCCACTACTCAGCTACATTTATGCTACACTTTTTTTCAGGCTTAATGTAACACGAGTTTTTTTTCCCACTGGTCATCAATACCCTGCAATAGATCAACTGTCTTTGCAAGTTTCATGTTCTTTAACCTTCTTACATATTGTAAAGCATTTTTATCCTGTTGAGTATTATTGTGCTTGTTAGCTCTAAGAAGAGATTTTCTTCATCAACAGATGTTTTTTTTCTGAAAGTTCATTTAGTCTTCTATTACTACCAGCAGTATTCTAAGAAAGTGTTTGTGTATGAAAGTACAAAAGGATGCTGATGAATGAAGGAAATAGAGGTCACATAAGATTCCTACTGCATATACTTTACCAAGAGCATGGAGGTGGAAAACCGTTATCTGAAAATGAACTTGCATTAAAAATATTACAAATATTCTCAACAAGAGGAAGAACATTATACAGATGTCTTCCTTCACTTTGAAAACGCCTGTTTCAAATGATACCTATTTTTCAAACACCACAAAATTTTACTTTGTTGTCTACTTTCTTTACCATGAGTGTCAGAGAACATTTTATTTTATTATTTTGTTTTTGTTTTTAAATAGCTTAACAATACAATTGGTCATGGAACTCTGTATTGCCATGACCATTGCCAATATTATAATACTGGTAAAAGATGATTAACTGTATTGTGCTAAACTTATCCTATGATGTACATTAAATAAATTTCTTGAGAGATTCAGTAATACTATCAATGTCTCAGAATCCTAAGCACTACACAACAATAACAGCAGCAACTGCACTATTACAAATAGTAATATAAATATTAAAGAAACTCATAAAGTTATTATGCAAATTATTTATGAGTATTCTGAACACATTAACCAATAAATATTGTAGCACCCTAAATACAGGTAAAATCCATCTTTCAAATAGCATTTAGAACTTCAAAAACTAGTGAGTTCTCTTGACATTTCTATAAAGCAGAAAAAAATTCTTTCCCTCATTTTTACAGACAGGGAAATGAAGACAGAGACTAAGTGACTGCTGAAAGTCTGTCAGGACTCAGATTTTACCAAGATTTTATCTTGTACTTCGAGTGCAAGATAATTGCATTATCTGGAGTATTTAGCTTTAAATTTGCCACAACTCTGACTTGCCTGTTGACTTCTAAATTATACTTTTCTACTAGAAACAGACAACACATTCCAACATGCTAACATTAATATAGGATATAAGAAATTTGAAAATAGTATGGTCCTCAGTGCAAGAGGTACTAACTCCATCCGCAGAAAACAGTAAACTACTGAGGGGACTTTTTTTGAGAAACAGTGCAAAAGATTAATGCTTAGTTGACATCCACCAAACTGCTTCCTTGAAGAATTCCTATACCAACCTATCTCCTTTGAAGAAGTAGGTTTTCCCAACGTCTTCCCACCAAATTGCAGAATCAATACCATGGGAAGGAATTCCACTTCCAAGTGTTATCAAATCATGAGGATACCCTGGCTGGAGAGTAGTGTCCTTGAAAACCCAGAACTTGTTACCTGTACAAAAACATACATATACACATACGTATATGGGCGTTAGTCCTCAGAACTCATAGTACTGAAAAGTACACATTCCAAAGAAAGACTCCCATGGGGCTACAGAGATTTTGCTAAATACACTGAAATGAAAAACGTTATATCGCTGCAGATAACACAAAATAAAATACATCTTACAGATACTCCACATTTACTGAACATCTGTTATCTAATAGACACACATAGTATTTTAATACCACCTAAATGGGAATCAAACTCAAAGTGCTCTGTGAAAAGTGATGTAGTATATTTACAGTAATACTATGAAATAGATTTATGCTTCATGAAGAAAGTTACTTTTAAGACAAAATGAGATAAGAAAGCATACAAATAAATAAGAAATAGAAATCATTATTTTTATATAGACCATATTCTACTGTTACTCATTATTCTCTTTCTCTTAAAAAAAGTTAAATTACTTATGCATAATGTACAGGGCTATTTCTGAAATAACTATAGATGTAACAGTATTTTTTCATACCATGTGTTCACATTAATAACCTTAGTATGGCTTAAACACTGCAGACTGAGGTTCTGATGTAAAAATCACTTCTGAAATGAATGAAGGGTTGCCTTTAGTACAGCAATGCTCACATGAATCCCTACTGTTGCCTTTACTAGTTCAATATATTGTTTACATATGGGCATGTATGTCTATAAAAGCAAAATTGGCAACAATATTTTCCAGTATAGGCTCCAGTGTACCTGCATTTGGAGAGTTTTTTTCCTGTACTCTCTTCTGACTAGATAGCTTGACTCACCAGTCCACAACTCCAGTTTGCTCTGGCTTCCTAGACAAGCTTATCTTTCTCAGTGTACACTTCTATGACTCATACCACTCACTTCACAGTCTCAGATCGTAAGCCTTTAACCTAATGATATTTAATAATTCTGTCATCTTCCAGATCTTTCCTAGGGTCTTTTCAACATACTTAGCTTCATGATCTATTTCTGCAATCACCCTTTCACTTTCACATTTTGCTTCCTTGTAATTCTTTTTCAAAATCCACTTCTCACCTGTATATTTTAGTAAATACTTTTCTTTCAAACATAGATATTTGGGGCTGAAAAAAGGTAATATCCTTATGTTCAGGCTGGATGGGTCTTTGAGCAGCAGGACCTAGAGGAAGATGTCCCTGCCCATGGCAAGGGGATTCGATCTATGTAATCTCTTCAAACCTACATGATCCTTTCAAAGACAAACTATTCCACAATTCTCTCATTCTATGACAAAATATATTTTCCTCAGATACATTTAGAAAGAGATCCAAAGAGATAAAATCAGTGTAGTTCAATGTAGTCATATTTACCTATTAGACTAGGCACGCTGTTACACAAACTTAATATGTTAAGGCACTGTTCTGCATAAATATTTTAGAAGAAAGTGTAATATCAACCCAAGGATCTAGGATTAGATATATGCCAGTCACCAGGAGGAAAAATCCAAAAAGCTATTTTGCAGTTGGTTTTATATTTTAACTATCCCTCAGTAGTATTAAATATGAGTTTAAAGGGATCTTATTTTTCTTTAATCTCCCTGCTTGTACTGTAGGGATTTAAAGTACACTTTCATTTTATCACAGTTTTAATTAGGAGAGGGGATATAGTTTAAGGCCCTCCCATGCTGGGTTTCCAGAGTCAGTTCTTTATCAACTTGTTTACAGCTGCTTGTCACCCACTTCCAAGTGCAGACACTACAGTTTGCTCAACAGATTCATCTTCTCCCACTTGCCAGCTGAGGGAAGAAAGGGTTCAAAAAAATGAATATGTGCAGAGCCATTTGAAGTACGAAAAATGAAAGTGACACAGAGATCTAAGAACATTTTTAACTGGAATTAAAGCCTGTGCTAACAAGACATTTATCTTAACTGAGATTCCCTAAAAAATTCACTTAAAAGTGATGATGATGATGGTGATCTTCAGTATTTCACTGTCCTTACTCCTATGAGGTTTAACTTTCTCCCAGTTCAGATAACTGGACACAGAAGGCTTTAGATGCTAATGGCAGTTGCAAATGCGACAATAAGAGAAGTCACGTGTCTTGGATCTTACTAGTTGGTACTTACAGCATGAACAACAGATGGCATCCAGTGAATGATACTGAGCCAGCTCATTTCTGTTTCAGAAGATCATTCAAAATGACAGCTGTTGCACAGCACTGGGAGGCATATGCTGTGATGTATGTAATGCCATTACCTTTCCCCGTGTTTCATAAGTAAAGCCAATTGTTAGGAACTGATCATTGTCAGCCATACCCAACAAGTCAAATTCAGCTGTTAATAAGATCAGATCATAGCAAAATAAACATCAGTCGAGTACACACCATTATAAGAGACAGCATTATTGAGTGAGGTATTTGTTTCATTCAGGTATAACAAAGTAGTATAAAGCAAATAAAGAAAGTACAGATGTGAGTACACAAGACTCAAGTGAGAAATTAAATCCTTCACAATTTGTTATTAGGAAGCAAATGCTTTTTGGATAAGTAGAAAAAAATATAAATTTAAATATATAAAGTACTGTATAAAAACTGAGACAGTAGGGCACTGAGAGCTTTAATATTAGTGGGCAAGGTTTGTATTGATTCAAAATATAGGAAATTGTATTTAACATTTACATAGGAAGATATGTTTAGTCTGCTACAACTGTGTTGATTGTTAGTGGGAAGGTCTGTGTATAAGAAATTGAAATGTTCCATCTGGCTGCCAGTTTTTACTTTCTTTTTGTTTGTGTAGAGGGTTTTCTTTTCTTTTTTTTTTTTTCTTTTTTTTTTTTTTTTTTGTCTTTTTTCTCTTCTTAGCTTCTGTCCCTCTGCTGGTGGAAAGGTAGCTCTTGATCAGATAAAAATTACAGAAAAGTTTCAATAAGAATGAGAAGCATTCAAACTCTGAACTACATATTATAATGAGCTGAAATGAATTGCAAATGGTGCTTGACTACAAGGAATATTAGCTTCTTTTATTTCTAAATTATATTTACATATTTTAAAATGTACTAAAAATAAATATTTAAATTAGCATGCTTTCATTTAGGTCGCATGTCACTTTCGACAAGTGAATAGTCAATGCACTTCATTAACTGTGATTATAATGGAAATAAAGAATATATGACAAAACTAAAATAATCATAGTTTCACCTTTCTTATACATAGCTAATGCCTGGTTAGTGTCCTACACAATATCCTAGGCAGAAATTAGCACTATATTTATTCAACAAAGTTGTGGGGGTTTTTTTAGGTCTAGTTGTTAGGTTTGTTATCTTCACAGAGCTTAATAAAGCACCACATGTTTCATGAATTCTTGCCAATCTTTAGAATGTTTTATCTCTATGCAGTTATTCCCTAATGTAAGATCTAATTTAGCAACAAGCAGAATGGTAAGGTCACAGGCTGAGAATGAAGAATGGGATAAAAAAAGACAAAATGTCTTACTTTTTCAATAATGCTTTGTTAAATATCATAACTATAGGGGAACAATTGAGAAAGATGAACTGTGATTACAGTTATTTGAAGTTTCTCAGCATCTATCTTTGACATTCTCAAAAAATAATAGAAATAAAGGCTATCTGCATTGCAATGCATCTCTTAAAATATCAAATTTTAACTCCAAGTAGTCTTCGGACTATTTAGCTAGCTGCTGCCAACTACAAATAATTGTGCAGATTTTAGAAACTGTATTCATTCATTTTTAGAATTCGAATGCTAAATACTTGTGCTCCAGGGTTATCAGCATCAAGTCTCTTGTTCTTGGTATATGCAATTATGATATATGTGCACACAAGGATACAGTGCACAACCACTACAGGTGCTATGATGAGCCAAATTCTCAAAGATTTTATGGCTTCTATTTGTCTGAAACCAGGCAGAATTTGAATATCTAATTCTGGAAAGCTTTTATCCAGTCACCCTTGCTTTTAACTTTGGTCTTTCAGGATCAAGAGTCTTCTTACTAATGTCCTCAAACTACTACTCGTTTCCTTTTTTCTTATTCTCTTTTTCCAAATTCTTTCTGTTGCCACTCTGCTTCATGATCTGACAATATAGTAAGTAAACATAAAATTGCCAAGCAGTGAGATAAGTGCAGTTGAAAGTTATGATGGTAGCATTGGTACAATGAGTTTTACAGCAGCATTTCTATTGCTCCATTTGGTTTACCATAACATTCAACAGTGCAGATGGCTTGACAATTTCATTCTAAGCACCACATAAATTCCCACAGGTACACCAAATAAATTTTACTATTCACATTTCCTCTATTAAAAAAGGAAAAAAAAGAGTATCATTCTGGTGCCATCTTCTTATTAGCTTTCAGCATGAACACTAGCAATGAATAGTAACAAGAATGTAAACAGATGCTTTTTATAAGCAGCCGTCCACCAGATTGCTGTGCACTTTATGAGTATTATGAGTCATAAGGAGGCAGGCCAAGTATCTTAAGCCTCCAAAAATGAGCGAGTATCACTTTGTAGCTTTGCACTACAAGCATCCTACTGAAATTTTACAGTATTTTCCCTTGTATAAACAAAAATTAATTAAAAAAAAAAAAAGAAAAAAAAAAAAAAAGGATATGGAATTAGTTTAAATAGTAATGTGTGAAAAAGTATTCAAAACCAGGAAAAGAAGACATTTGATCCAATAGTCTTGAACTTGATGCAACTATATTTTCTATAGACATCTAACACATTATGCATGGTCTCAGAGGCTCCTCAAATATTCTCAGAAGAGTAATACTAACCAGATTTAAGCATACAGGAAAGGAAAGGAAAGGAAAGGAAAGGAAAGGAAAGGAAAGGAAAG